TTAGAAAACTTTCAAGCCAACTCTCAAATGCCTTGCATAACACAACCTCAGAAACAGTTACACCATGGGAACAATTTAAAGATCTGTGCTCATTAATTGGTACTGGAAATAATCAAACAAAGAAGTCAAGCAGTTTATTGAAAAGGCAAGGATAACACATTATATACATGCCATGGTGTATCACATTCCCAAGGTTAAAGGGCCACAATTCTGTAAATACATTTACTGGTCAAGGTGTGGAAAAATACTGATTATCCTAGAAACATTGTTATATGCAAATGCAACAAATGGGACTCAGCACCTGATGTGCTTAAAAGTTGAGGCTAGACAGTGGACCTTGCGAGGGTCCAAACCAAAAAAAGTCCAGATAATAAAACAAACAATGATAGCTGGGGAAATGACCTTCTTGAAACCCATGTAATGTTTTATTCCATAATAGATTATAGTTTATTGTGTAAGAGTATTTTTGGTTCATCTTTTTTGTTTGGTGAATGCTTGCATGACTATTATTCTCTGTGGTATCTTCAACTGTTTTAATTTCAAGGCATATTAGTCCAACATTTTGTGGAGTCTTGTTAAAGGTAACCAACACTATTGTCAACTATGAAAGATGCTCAAATTTGTTTGTTCTCAATACCGGCTCTAACCATGTGTGATTTCATTTCATTAAATTTCACCATGACTACTGTTCAGCGTCAAGAAACTGAAGTTTCCTTTGTAATAGAAAGTCTTAGGAAGTGATAGAAATTAGTATTTATATTTTGTCATGACCTCCGTCAATGCTTTCAAGCTGCAGTTAAAAAAAGTGCATGCATGACAAGTCCAATTTTCACATGCAGCTATGGCCATGTACAAAAACGCAAAGCATGAGAATGACGTTTAAAAATTTGTCACTCTCATGCACGGCTTTAATCTGTTTATGGCATCACTTAGGGAAACATCACGATTAGAGACAATATTGCAATGACAATTTTATGATTTTAATTTTAATATAAACTATTTCCTATTGATTAGGCCTTCTAAAATTATATGAAATGCGCACAATATATATTTGGGGGCGTCAACGTTAACTGAACCAACTTCTTTTTTGTTCCAAATTAACTAGAAGTTGGTTTGAAGCTTTAGTCCACACTCAAGGGGAACCGCACAAACGTTTATTTACTGTGTCTTTCATTTCTTGCAGCTTGTGACAGCTGATACACCTGGTACAGCCAAAGACTGATAAACAAAAGCACATCTTACTCTCCAAGGGACCTTTCGCATCCATATAACTGACACAGATGGGTTTTGGCGGAAACTCTTGTCCATCTTCAGTAATAGTCAATATCATGCAAAATCTGGCGGCAGATGGCTTTGGGCAAGACCAAACAGTCAAAAGAAGCACAGTGCTGTTTAAGAAACTGCCTTCATCAATGACAGACGAAGATTTGGCAAAATATAACTTGTTTGTTCTTAAATACTGGCTCTTACCATTTTCGATTTCATTTCATTTCACCATTAGCACTATTCAGCGTTAAGGAACTGTGGTTTCCTTTGTAAAAGAAAGTCTTTAAAAGTGATAGAAATTAGTATTTATATTTTGTCACGACCACTGTCACCTTGATTGCTTTCAAGCTGCAGTCGAAAAAAGTGCATCCATGACAAGTCCAATTTTCACATGCAGCTATGGCCATGTACAAAAACAAAAAGCATGAGAATGACGTTTAAAAATTTGGCATTCTCATGTACAGCTTTAATCTGTTTATGGCATCACTGAAGGGAAATATCACATGCAGAGACAATATTTGAATGACAGTTTTACGCTTTAAATTTAACTAAAAGCTATTCCCTATTGATTAGGCCTTCCAAAATTATTTGAAATGTGCACATATATGGATAACTTTGTAAAAAAACTAAAAAAGTTAACAAAGTTAATGTTTCATTCCTCCATTTAATCCTTTTTTTACTGGAATGGTAAAAGACATGAGTTTATTGTATCACAGCTATGTAATTAATCTACTTCACAGCATCGACCAAGTAAGATCTGTTTTTTCCTTTTGCAGCAATTTAATAAGGCCATCTTGGGCTTGGGATGGGACAGAGTAACTTAAGCAAAGCAAGGGGGACGGGGGGGATACGATAGGATCACAATGAAAAGAGCCCCAAGAAGAGAGTCAGGATTTTAATTTGGGGGAAGGAAGATGCTGCCTATGATTGCAAACTTCATGAGGATGAACCCACCACCTCTCCTTCCCATCGAGGTAATTATGTTCTTTTGTCTTATAATACAAGGCCCCTACCATACTGTTTATACCTTATTAATATCCATTAGACTTCCTGCATTGTATATAACCATGTGTTGATTATTAATAGTTGTCAAGTTGTCTAACTTTGGTTGGATTTGCCCTGGCCATGACCAGTATGTGTCCATCCCAGGATTCAGGAAGTGTAGCAGCCACTGGAAACTTCTACTCGACAAGAAACGCCCCCATCAACGTTGCATGTATCGCTAGCAGAGATAGAGGTGTTTGGGAGTGGTGAAACTCCGAGGGTAGAGCCATGACCTCAAAGGGACAGCAAACAACGGAGAACCTTGAAGTAGTGTTTCGGTTTCGATTTATTTCCGTTTGCCGGTAGGCTGGCAGTTGTTGTTTGTTTCGAACGGCACGTTTTGCCCTCTTTTCTGTCTTGTGTTTTTATCAATTTTTGTAAAGCTGGCTGGCCCTCTGCATATTCAAATGCATGTTTGGTAGCTGCCAGTCAAAAAAGTGCGCTGATTGTTTCTTTATTTAATGTACTGTATGGTTGTTTTCCCCGTGGAACAAAGGAGTGGTCAAAATATCTTCTAGTTAACACAATGATTGGCAAGTAGTGAGTCAGAGACTTCTGTAATGCCAGCGTAAGAATAGAGGAACCTGGTCGAGGACCAGGGAGTGAAAAAAAGGGGGAAAGGAAAAGGACAAATGAGTCACAGACTCGTGTTACTCTTTATGCTGTTAAAAATAGTCAGAAGGGATAAGAAAAGTGGGTCGTAGACTTGTGACATCAATGGGGGCGTGGTCTGTTTGGGATCCGGTCAAGGACAGCAGGAAGAGCAAGTTGCAAACTCTAATGCATTGGCCTCTGGGGTTGCTTTAACAAGAAAGAAAGTGTGTGTGAGGGTATTGAAGTCATGTGATACCTCGCGGTGGCACTCAGCCGCTTTTAGGGAGTTCCCACATGGTGACGTATTTAGTATGGAAATAGTTTCTAAATAGTGTTCACTTTGTTACATGTAGGAATTAGCTACAACAGTTAGGACATTGAAGGAGTTGGACGAGTGGAAAAGCAAGGTTGACTCAGCTTGGTCCTCGCTACAAATGATACTCCCCTAGCCAGCCATCTTGTTCAACCCTTACGTCACCATTGTCGCTCTCCAGGAGGTAGTGAATGTTACGAAGGACAAGGAAGATGACAGGGTCACCAGTTTTCAAATAGTCTCGAGGCAGTGCCACCGGTTGGTTAACAGTCCAAACCTACAGCAGATTCTTATTAAGCTGGTGGCAACGAAGGAGGAAGCCGATGTGGCTAAGGTTCTAGCAAAAGCAACAAAGGAGCCTGCCTCAGTTCACCAGGGATCGTTCGGGGGATGAATCGACCCAGAGAACCGTGTATTCAAGGATTGGGACTTTTCAACATGAGTCATCCACCCGTTTCACATTGTTGGGTGTGTGGAAAGACAGACCACATCTCCTGTTCTTGCCGAGAGAGATGCTGAACCTGATTTTCACTTTTGGTCTGGCATTCTTTTTCTGGAAGTTGTTTTGATGTTGTTTCATTGATAATAAAGCAGTCAAGTTATGTACCTAACACATTTTCTCTTTTTTTTGTTCGTATTTTCTACGAATCTGTTGTCTTGAGGTTAGAGAGGTGACCCCACCGGCATTTTGCCTATAGGCATGCCCTTGAGTCCAATTACTTGGGCTACGGTGGTCATTGGTTGTCTTTACACTAGGCCGTTAAGTAAGACTTAAGAGCTGCTAAGTTTTACTTAACCAAAAATGCGCGTGTGAAGGCCAAAGTAAAAACCCCAAGTAACTTTACTTTGCATCTCATTAAAGTCGGACAGTTGAAACGATCCAAGAAAGTTTCAAGCGACTTGAAAACCATACTTATTGCCGAATTAGCTGACTTGCGGTTTTCTTGGGCTGTCAATCAAGCTAAATTTATCTCATCAACCGGACCTTTGCGACCTGCTGCGATCGACGCTGATCTCCACGTGAGTTCCAGAAGTTTGTTTTAAAAAAAATTGGGGGAGAAACGACGGTAAGTATTTGTTTTCTTAAATCATGTGAACAGGATTTTTTGTTTGGAACTGTGATTCGGATATTTTAACCCAGTGAAGTGTGTTTTACATGTTTTGCTACCCGCTATCACAGCTAGCTGTTGACGTTTCACTTGGTTCGCTTGGATAAACTGGGTTTAATTTGTTTTCAGATGCTACCGTCAGTTCCTTCGATCCCTATACATACGAAAATGGGTAGGTGATAAGCTACTTATTCTTATCCCTAAATTTCTCAGTAGTCTAACTACGAATAAATCGATCTAAGACTATAAACACCGATAATCATGTGAGACACATAATTATCATGTAAATCAAATTCTTCATTGCGAGTTAACTGTCAGTTGCGACTTTCTTAGAAATAAACACAAGCTTTTCTAAACGATTGATCAATTCTATACACCGAGCAAGCACATTTCAGTCTGTTGAAAACTCCTTCTGGCAGAACTTTCGCCCAAGCTTGCGCAGACCTGGGGTACTTACCAGTTACATGGGAAATACATAATTCTGGATGGGAAATCAAATGGTTTTCACACATAAAATTACTAACAACCCAACAAACTTCCCTATGATATTCAAAGGAACCCTTACCCTAGCCTCTGAGGTTCATAGTTACAACACCAGATTTGTATTGACCCATAATTCTAATTAGCCAAGGATAAGAAATAATTATGGAGTTCATCTTATTTTCAGACAGTGCATGGCCATGTTAAAAAACTTCTATCCACAGTCAAGATTTCTTACTCCCAAACTTTCACATCAGCTACAAGCAAGCCCATCATTGCAATCCAGACCAGCAAGTCCACTTTCTCAATCGTTTCAGGAAGGAGCAACCTCGTCCAAATCAACAAAAGTGACCGATGGTAAGCGCCGAAGCAGAATCGTTTGGGCTACAAAGGAAACTCAGATTTTACTGGAAATCTGCGGCACAAAATATGCAGAAATTAAAAGTGCATCCACCTCGCAGAAGAGAAAAATATGGGAACAGATTTCTTGCGAGTTTGTAATTGCCTGCAGGAGGGAGAATATATCACAAATCCAGCAGAAGTCTGGGGAACAACTTAGAAAATGAGTCACTAACTTGGAGTACGAATATCGTCAAATCAGGACAAGAATGGACAGTACTGGAGAAGAAGGCGCTAAGAAAATTATGGGAACCTTCGAATTTTTTCACTCTCTGGATAAGTCCTTGGATCGAGGCATGGAGATAATCCTGCTTTGATGACCATCGAGTAAACTGCAATAATTCCAAGTGAAGCATCAGTGGACAGTGTGGAAACGGTAGATGAAGCTGAAGTAAGCTGAAGCAGCTTGTTCAGTTTTGGATTTCAAACGAGGTCTTTATTCCGGAGCAATTTGGCTTCCTAAAAGGGAAATCTTGTCTTTCTCAATTATTATCATCGTTTCATGATTGGGCCAGCGGGAGAAACAAAGGCTTGACAACTGATGTTATATTTTTAAACCTTTCAAAAGCTTTTGACTCGGTGCCACATGAACGCCTTTTGACAAAGATACATGCATATGGTATCCAATGTCCACTCCTGTCTAGGCTTAGAAGTTTTCTCACCAATCGATACCAGCGCGTTGTTCTGCGGGGACATTACTCATCTTGGACTTCCGTTTTGTCTGGTGTACCCCAAGGAACTGTGCGGGGACCCATTTTATTTTTAATTTATATTAATAATATTTCAAGAAACATTATGTCAAGCACAAAACTTTTTGCAGACGATATGAAATTGTATAGGTTACTCAGGGATACTAAGGAAGATGTTGAAGAGCTACAGAAAGATCTTATTCGCCTGGAATCTTAGAGCCATGTCTGGCAGCTGAAATTTAACACAGATAAATGCGAAGCGATGCGCATTTCTAAAAAAAATGATTACTCAAGTCCTCAATACCATCTATGTCGTAACCAATTAAAAGCTGTATCTGAAGTTAAGGATCTCGGAATCTATATTACTTCGAACCTGTCATGGAGTATGCAAGCTAACAAATGCGCAAATAAGGCAAATAGTGTGCTTGGATTCATTAGGCGAACGCACTTATGTCCAGAAATGTATGCAATGGCGAAAATGGCGAAAGTGGCGAAAAATCGCCAGCTGCTGGCGATTTGAATTGAACGCCAAAAGTGGCCCCTTGGAGGTTGACGATTTTGGCGAAAATGGCGATTTTGGCGAAATTGGCGATTTTGGCAAAAATCGCCATGCATGCAATGGTGAAAGTGGCAAAACTGGCAAAATATCGCCAGCCGCTGGCGATTTGAATTGGATGCCAAAAGTGGCCCCTTAGAGGCTAGCGATTTTGGCGAAATTGGCGATTTTCGCAGAAATCGCCCTGCATGCAATGGCGAAAATGGCGAAACTGGCGAAAAATCGCCAGCCTCTGGCGATTTGAATTTAGCTGAAAATGGTTCAACTGAAACTGAACAAATTTGGTCTCACATGGGCGCAAGAGTAACTAACTTTTCGTTAAGTTTGCATGTCCTAAACAAAAAAAAGAAAATACCGCAATACCTATTTTCTGATCTTACAGCTAAAAACACCTTTCTGTGGATGGATATGACGCCTTTTTTGACAATTGGCTTAGTTTTTGAGATGTGCTTCTAGTTGGTTCTTGAACTCTGATTGGGAAAAGAAGCAAAAAGCTCTAGAGTTACCCGGCAATAGTTTTGACGCTTAAAACCTGCACAACTATTATCATTTGTAAACCCAAAGAAAAGTAAATGTTCCATTTAAGGTCAATAAAAATTAATGTTCAAGTCTTAATATTTGAGTTACAAAAAAGCACCAACAACGCTTTAGTGCTAAAAATAGTTGAAATTGTCTGGAAATGTCTGGTCTCATGAACGATATTACCGGTTACAGTTTCTAGGAAAAAGCAAAAATTATGTCCATTAACAAAGACAACTCAAAGTTAACACAAAAAAATCTTGACTGCTTTACACTTGCGATGTTTATCTTTATGTTCGACTTAATAAAATTCCTCCTGGAAGATTGTGTTTCTGATTTCAGGGATTATTATTTTCGCCCAAAAACGCAAACTGTTTCCTCGAGCCCCCCCTCCCCCTCCCCCTCCTTCTCTTACAACCACACAAAACTCCAATCCACGCCAATGTCTTGGGTAATAACGTTTGTTAGTATTAGTCAAAATATTTAAAGGATAAATCTCATGAACTGCGCATGTGCGAGCCAAAGCGCAATGAGCATGCCCTTATTTGAATTTGGGTGGGAGGGGCAGGGGCTGTACTACACAGGCTAGGTAGGGGTAGGCTTCTATTCGAGACTGGATGCTTATTAACTTTTTGCCTTTAGGATGGGGACTTATTTGAATTGGGCGCTCATTCGATTAAATACAGTATAATTCAAACGAGAGCGGGAAGAGCGATTTTGACAGTGATATCCCGAGCATGCCCAGTTCATGAGAGTACCCCTTTAAATTTACACAATGATAGTCAGGCGTTCAATTACTAGGGAGAGCAGCGTAACTGACTGGCCAGCGCTCCGCATTGCTTGAACCCCTGGAACAGGCTGGCAAGATTGATATTCAATCATTCCATTGACAATTTCCACAGTTACTCAAAGAACCCCTTTGGCGATAAGGTAATTCAAAATAAGCTGCCTTATGGCGCATCCTCCAAGGGCCACACCTTCATCATCGGCATGGTGCTGTCCAGGTGGATCGCGTACATTCTCGTTGGATATCTCTCACCTTGCATCTGACAAAAATTATGGAGAACACACAGCTAAGATAAAAAATTGTAAAGACCACAGGTAGCTGTTATTGTTTGTGATACACTTTTGAAGTGTTGTTATTTTTCTTTGCTAGGATTCGCCATCTTCCTTTCAGCATTCTGAAAGCTCTTTCTACTACCGCTCTCACGGCACTGAATTTCTTGTTAAATTTCTTTTCCTGTCGCAAAAGATTTCCACGAGTAGAGAAGGGCTTTAAGAGCCATCCAGAGAGGGGATATGCACTATCACCTGCAAGCATTGGTCGCACCTCAACACCTCAAATTATCTTTGTTGGCGATTTCAGAATCTCACCTTTTTCTGCAAGGTCTGCCAAACCACTTAGTCGTAGAACCCTCGAGTCGTGGACGCTTCCTGGATAGCCAACAGAGATATGTCTAAACAACAATTTACAGTCAACAACCCCTTGAAGAACTAAACTGTAAAACTGTTGTCGATTATAATAATCTTCGTGGTTGTCGGGAGGTGCTCTTATCTCAATATGAGAGCCGTCAATGGCGCCTACAATTTGCGGAAAATGATATTCTTCCTCAAAACGATCCATTACCTCTAGCACCTCTTTATCAGTGTAAGGGAAACGAATGTAACTATTTTTCAGTCGACATAAGGCGCTTTCAAACTGGTCTGAGATTACTTTTGCAGTCAACTTGCCAATACAAAATTGAAGTCCACAAGATCTATACATGTCCCCGGTAGCAAGGCACCAAAGACCTACTACCATGCGCTTTTCAACAGAAACAGGACAGCGCACTCTGGTATCTTGTTTGATTAAATCCACTCTAAAAACATTGCATAACTCATCATATGTTTGACGTGACATTCGGAAATTAGGTTTCCACAACGATTCCATACCAGGGGAAACGAGTAGCAAATTGATCCAGTTTCGTGGCCTTGGCCATGCCCACACTCTCCTTCTCCAATGCGCAGCATGATTCCTACCTCGACTGTACTTGTTTATTGCCAAACATGTCAGAATAAAAAAGCATGTCCATTTCTGAAGTGAACGAGGGCTCTCTTACAACATTTTGATTTATAATTTGGTGGTTTTAATTTAAAACAAAATATGCAGAAAGTACAGCCAAAACCTTTCTTTTCTTTATTACTGCAGCCACCCCGATTCGTGTTTTTTAAGTCTGCAAGAAGGTGCCAACTTGCCTTCAGTCGTGTTAGCTGTCAATTTTCATTAGCTTAAGTTACTTTCAAGTAAAGAAGTCCCTTGTGTGTGAAGTGTTAAGTGTTCTTAAGTAAGAAAAAAATTCTTGACTTGAAACATCCCTCAGTTTACTTGGGATCTACTGTCGAGACTACCATTGTTCATCTAACAACATTGGCTGTCTTTACACTAGGCTGTTAAGTAAGACTTAAGAAATGCTAAGTTTTACTTAACCAAATATTCATGTGTGAAGGCCTAAGTAAAATCTCAAGTAACTTTACTTTGCATCTCAGTAAAGTCGGAAAGTTGAAACGATTCAAGAAATTTTCAAGCGACTTGAAAACCATCCTTAAAACCGACTTAGCTGACTTGTGGTTTCTTGAGGTTTGAGAAAAGTGAAACACCTCAATCAATCGTAATTATGTTGCGTGGGAAAATAGCCGTAAGTTAAACTGAAGAAAAAAAAAATCAGTTGTGTGAAGCTTTATTTTACTTGAAGTAATTAAAATTTACTTGTCTTGAAATATTTCTTAGCTTATTTAGGCTCTAGTGTAAAGACTACCATTCTCTCAGAACTCAAGTGTACAGTTTTCTGGGCATGTGTTACTCCCCCTTCTTCTGATCATTTGTTCCCATGTGTTGTTTTAGCCTAAGCTGAAGCGTCTAAGAGGAGAGGTATTTGAGTTTGCCCCTTTAGGAGCACAGAGAAGGGCGCTGAACAGCAAGGAATATGCTGGATATCCTTGGATGGAGACCCTAGTTCAAAGAAAATGACCCACAGTAAAAAGTGCCTGGTGGACATTTATAGCATTGTTCGGGGAGAAACACCAGTTTCAATGTCTGATTTGCCTGATCTGTGATCCAAACAGAGCTGTAGCAATAAAGCAATGTATAACTTCTGAAGCCAGGAACCATCTTCCAACTGCATTGTGTATATACTGGTGAAAATATATATGTTGGTGTCAAAGTTGACTGAACCAACTTCTTTTTTTTACCAAGTAACTAGAAGTCGGTTTGAAGTTTTATTCCACTCCTAAGGGGAACCGCAAAAATGTAAAATTCTCCTAAGTATAATTTATTTACTGTCTCATTTCTCAATCGACTCCTCATCTGATTACCAAAATGAATAATTCAAAAACACCATGCACACAACAGATAAGCAGCGAAGCATAATGAGAGAACAAAGTGACAAACCTATTTGAATTTGTTGTTTAATGGGTGGGTGTCACTTGGACAACCACACTTCTCCACATTTATTACGTATAGCTTATAACTAAATGAACTATTTCAAATTATTGTTATAAGGGAGGGCACTGTCACTTGGACAGTCCCTAATGTATTAGGTATAGATTAACACCAAATGAGAATCATTAGGTTATTAAAGGGGCAGGTGTCACTTCGATGACCCACATGTGCCATCAACGTCTTTGCATTTATTTAGTATTGCTTAGAATTAAATGAAAATCAATAGGTTAAGCAGTTATTTCAAATTGGTATTATAGGAGAGGGGTCACTTGGACAACCCACACGTCCCCGCATGTACTAAGTATAGCTTATAGTTGAACAAAAATTGATAGATTAAGTAACTATTTCAAATTAGTATAATTACATTGATGATTATCGAAAATTGAGCTCTATGATTGGCTAGGAGCTTCGCTTCACCCCGCTATAATCACCGCACAGTGATTATAACATTGAAGGCTAGCAGTTTTCAAAATGGCAGCCAGATTTGTTGATGTTTCGGAGACGGAAATTGATCAATTTAAAGAAAATCCTGTTCCTCAAAAAACAAAAGATGCCACAAAATTTGGAGTCAAGATATTCAAAAGTAGGTTGATAAAATTTCTCTTTTGCAAGTAACACAATTTACTGAAAACTGATATGTTTATTCACATTTTTTTGCTTCAAAGTGTTAGCAACTTTTTTGAAATATTTTTTCTACAAAATGGTTTCAACAGCAGCAAGAGTTCACAAATGAAATAAAAAACATGGAAGTCGATGAATTAAACAAACGTCTGGCAAAACTTTATGTTTCTGTGAGGAAAACGGACGACGGCTATTATAACAAACCCAGCTTGTTGTCAATCAGAGCTGCCCTTGACCGACATGTTAAAGCCCTAAAATCTTTCAAAAAAGTGTCTCTTTTTTATATTATTTTCTGGAATAATAATCAATGTAATTATACTAAAACAATAATTCACCTCAGGCAACGTAAAGATCGGTGAATAGTCACCTCGACGGCCCATATTTACGTTGCCTTCGGTGACTAATTGTAAATTATTGTTATAGGGGAGGACAGTTTCACTTGGACAACATAAATGTCCCCAAATGTACTAGGTATAGATTAGAACTAAACGAGAATCAATAAGTTATGTAACTAATTCAAACAGTTATTCAAGGGGTGGGTGACACTTGCAGGACCTACATGTGTCCACACATCACCTGGGCACTATACCTGTTTTTCCAGTAGGTGTATCACAACCATAGTTGAGTGTTAAGACTGGTTTCTTTGTGACAAGCTTTTCATTTTTTTGCCATGCAAGCACAATTGTGTTTTCGTAAAACATTTTATAATTTTTAGCCCTCTGCAAAGTGAAAAATTGCTCCATGCAGCACTTCACTGCTAATGTCCCTTACAACACTGATCTCATTCAAAAACCATTCAATATCCCTTGTGGACAAATTTGGAAATATTCCAATCACGGTGTGGAAAAACAGATTGAAAGTGTGGAAAAAGGTTTTATAAAATCAAAAAGCATTTGTCTTTGAGGGTATAAAAGCGAAAAACAATTTTATTAACATTTATTTTAGTAAATATATTCATAAGTTAATATGACTTCAGGTATTCCTGGAACCTAAAGTGACTATATCCGATCGCCGTCATTTTTTCTCAGTTCAAAGCTACAATACCAACAGATCAGAGCGCTACCTTACTGATAAAGGTCTGATGTCCGCGGTAATTTCCTTTTAGCTAGCCTGTTCCAGGCGTTCAGATAGTAGAGCGGGGCACAAAAATTCATGAAGGAAAAAAAAAACGCCCCCCCCCCCGTTTCCCCCCACCCCCGTTTTCCGGGTGTACACTTTAATCCACTCCCCGCTGACTGCTGCTCTCTAATATCTGAATACCAGGAACAGTCTACTTTTTAGCTAAACTGGTAACTGAAAACTACCCCACTTCTTATCAAAAATGGCTGAAAAGGTTCTGAAAGCCAAAAAAAAAATAAATAAATAAATAAATAAAAAGTTTCAACAAACATCTAGAAAATACATGAAAACTACAACTATATTTGCATGAAGATTGTCACCAATTGTCACCAGACAATGATCAAATCATATTGCTGGGTTTCTTTTATGTCTGTTTTCCATTCTACCATCAGATCAAATCAAATTATTAAATTTGGCTGGATTTTTCATAATTTTCTTTCACTACTTCGCAAGGCACCACCACATTATCAGTCAACAAAACTAGTAAACTGGAAGCAAAATATCTTAAATCACCTGTACTGGTGTGCTGCCAGCAGCCATGGGGATGGTGAACAAGTAAAAGCCAAATGGCTCTCTATCTTAAAACATGTGACGAACATACACCAGGGACACTCAGAAACCTTTCCAGAATGTGCCCATGGTCCGTTAGAAGAGGACAGGGAATGGTTAAGGAGAGGTAATGCTAGCCAGGAATAAATCCAAATTAGTATTATTCTAGCAGGCCCAATTTCTGTCTCTATAAATGTGCGACCTTGTCGCTTAGAAGCCTTGCACAAGCACAATACAGGGAAGATGGGTCTCCACACGAAACCCACATCTCCTTTAACGTTGTACATGTTATATGAGCAAACACTGTGGGATGGGTCGTACTGTTTATAGTAATTTTCTGAAAAGACTAGGCTAAAGTCTAACTGTTTGCATAACTTTCTTCACAGGTTCGAAAGCGTTCAAGGAATTGGATGGCATTATCACAAGCAAGGTTTTGCTGAAGGACATCCCAAAATTGTCCCCTGACAAACAGACATCCCTCGTCGAGCTCCTTCATAAAGTGGATCTCTATTTTGCACCAAAACACACACATTTTTTCTACCAGGGAATGAAAGCAAGGTATGAATAATGTCTCTTAATGGGAAGCGCTTAGAAACTTATACTTTATGATCTTTTTGGCTTACCACGTGCATAATAATAATAATTATGCGAGTGGTAAGCCAAAAAAATCTATAATTATAATTATTATTACTGATATAATTAATATACAAAAAAATCCACGACTTCAAGATTCTGCAAGGAAAACATGGTATTGTTTTGTGTGCTCTTGAGTACCTTTTGGTTTGCAATGGAGGGGTTGTAACTTTCACTTGGTGTATTGTAAACTAAACACAAGTTATTGTTTGTCAATTTTAAGGCTCCAAATTGCAGCTCTTCATTTTAATGAAAATGTTAACAAGCCACAGAGATTGATCAAGGAAGGAGAAAAGGCAGGAGATGAGCAGTGCCTAGTATACTACCCTAAATACAAGAAAGGAGGGGCAGTAGCGAAGGAAATCAAAGAAGCCTGCCCACATGGTAATAAACTGATACACTAGCAATTTGGCATTAGGCATTTGGGCACATAGAACAATTGGATGATCTGGTTTAGTGACCACAAAACAATAGCTTCCCCGTGCCCAATTACCAATGACAAAAGGAAGTTTAATTAAATCAGTTATGACAAATTGAGTTTACTTTTTGACCCCTGCATCATCTGCTGAAATCCTATGTTACTACCATCTAAATGAAATGACTCTTCTTGGCTGAACTTTTGATTAGCACAAGTTAGTTCTCCAGATTATAAAAATTGACTTTTTGATATTTTAGTGAGATTTTACCATAACCACTTTAAGGTTACACTGTAAATTCAAGAAGGACAAGAATGCATTAGAAGGTTTTCAACATCACCAATATATAAGCTATGTGTACCTTACATGTTATTTTTCACACACACACCAGCTCTTAAAAAACCATTGGCTACACTATCCAACACAGTATAAACACAGTTTAAGTCACAAGTGGTTCTCATTTTCTTTGCAGGTTACATGATGAGACTTTTTGAAGAGCTCCTGCAATTGAGGAGACAATTTCCCTCTTACAGTGCTGCAGAAAGAGAATTTAGACCAATGCTGCAGGCCATTCCCAGGCCCCTCACTAGCCAGCGTCAAAGACAGGAAAAGGAGGCTGTCATTGCACAGCAAAAATCAAGATTTAACAGAAAAGGCTAGCTTTCTTTGCAATGCAGCGGAATTGAGAATCTTCTTTTCAACTGATGTGTTGTTCCATATCCTATGGACAGCTTTTTTGATGTATTTGCTGTAACTCCCTCCTTGAATATTCAAGTTTGGCTTCATACTTTCCATAAATAGTGCCCTTTCAGACCACTCTCTACTTCTCTAAGAGAACACAAAAAACTCTCTTGGGGAAGGCAGCAAAATAGCCTTAAATGGTCCCAGGTTGACTCAGCTGAAAGAGTGCCAGTTTGCTACACAGGTTTGAACCCTGGTTAGATGACCAACTTCGGTCTTTAAAATTCTGGCAAGTTCATACTCGCTGTGGAGTTTCAAATAAACACCAGTGAGGGAAGGGAGGAATCAATAATTTCTGGAACCACACCATTCAGTTACAAATGTGTTACACATGAAAAAATAGTAATCCTACTCTTAAAGAAATACTATACTAATTATGTTCATCATCAGGCTACCTGAGGTGACCATAATTCATTGCTAGTTTATAGTTCAATACACATGCATCACACACACACATTACCTATGAACTACATTGCAAGTTGTAAACATGTTCTATTTGAACAACGTTAAGTACATGAGTGTAAAAGGGGGAAGCTCTTCACTATCTATGATAGATCTACAATCAATTGTCATAGTTTTTACATGTAAAATGTAACATTAATCTTCAAGTGTTAAACTTAAACATGTAACATTAATGTTCCTGAAACAGACTATTTACACTCTTCCCAAAAGAACGTATACATGCATGGCTGATAAGATAATTCAGCGAAAATTTGAACTGGAGCTAATGACAATGTTATAGACGGATGATTATTCATTCACCTCAGAAGGAAGACTAAAGGAATATTATTCAGTAGTCACAGTATCTAGATTTCTGGTCTCTTTACCAGAGGCCTTCCAAGCCCATATAATCAAGATGTTGTCATATTATCTTGTGCATGGTTCCAGAAAATATCAATACAACCTATCACAAAAGGTTCCTCAAAATTCTGAGGAGGGAGGCAGAAGACCTTAAGGGAAGAGAGGTTTTCCAAAAAAAATTCCCTTTCATTAAGGATAGCATCTAGATTTTTTGGGAAGTTAACAATATACAACATTGACAGTTAATGAGCATATTCAAAGCCCTTATAGTTTCCACCTTCACTTGGAAAACTCTCTCTTATTTGCTTCACCACACATGATGGGATTGGGATTCCGATTTTCCTACCCAGCTTCTTGTTAATCCAATATGTGTATTGCCTGTGTGTGTATGTGTAGGCAACATATCTGTAGGTACTAACAAGGAAAGACAGAAGAAGTCATCCCAATGCAATGCAGAAATAAATTCAAAGCAAGCTACTGCAATTGAACATTAATTATGATACGTAAAGACCACAAAGGCAGAGAGTATTACATCTTGGGAAGAATTATACTTGGGTGATGCCATTATACATGTACTTAGCAGCAGCCTGCAAACCGAAACCAACATCCTTCTGACAGTAAAATGAATCATCTATCCTTCCTGACAAGACCTAACTCCCACAGTATCCACATTTAGATCACCCTAACTTAAAAATACTGATCTTTTGCGCAGTAAATCCCCAGATGGCTTGGATGTTTAGTACATGTAGAAGTCACAAATAAATACGGATTGGTGTTTTCAAAGCAAAATTATAACAATGTGTTGCATACATACTCATTCAGAGGCTCATCATCTATTGGGCCTTCATTTTCTAAGTACTGATTAAATGCTGTTTCAATAACAGCTGGATTCGTGCACACAGCATTGAAATTCTCGTTATCAGTTACACGTGACATGGCAGGTGGCATCTTATCGCAGGACTTGGCGTTTTCACGGCAGCAAGTGCTCTCCCGCCCAGTGTGCATGGGTACACAGTTTCCACAAATACACCTTTATTAAGAGTTCAAGACTGTTCATGACAAAATTGTATCAAAACAGTAAAATTTCCAGCATTTTGATGTAAAAATTCAAAACTCAGCATAAACATGAGTCAGTCTGAACATTGAATATAAAAAACTCTGCCCATTCACGCATTGCATAGTGAAAAGTGGTTCGACAAAGACAATAAATCGACAACTGAAAACAAGAAACCTTTCTGGAGTTAAATTCAACAGTATTTATTACCAACTTTCCACAAACAACAGAGGGAATGAACGAAACGCTCACCATCCCACATGACCAATTCGATCCTCGTTGACATCATCCAAGAATACATCGCTTGAGTCATCTGAAGCAGAAGATTCTTCTTCTGAAACAGTTGGCTCAAACTGGTATGGCTCAACTTCCATGTTCAAAGTTAAAAAATGGTTAAAGCAGGGCAAAAGCGACAAAAAAATGGCAACAAGAACAAAACACAATGAAGACAACATGCAGCAAAAAGATGATGGCTGCCCGGACCAACATTGACGTCACTAGTTTCCATTTCCTCCTGTCAATCGCGCGGCCATTTGAGAAACGTTTTCATGAAGTCTTCGGAAATGCTCGGATTTTGATCTTTTATCTTTCTATAAAGGCTTGGGAAGAAAAATCTTTACCCAAATCTTACTTAGGATGCTTCTATATAGTATTTGGTAAAGGTAAAGCGGCAAAAGAAAATATGTCAATTTTTTGGTTCATTTTACCTTTAAAAAGATTGTTCTGCTAATGACAGATTAATAGGTAATAAGGTCTTTAAAAATACTAGAAATTAAAAAAAAAACACATGCTCAGGAAAAACTTAGTTACACTGTGTTACCCATAACAATTACCTTACATTCATGTCAACATAAGGCATCTTCTTGTACATTTCACCAGGCCTTTAACATCTAAATGATAAGGCAGTTAGTCTTTCAGGTAATGGTCACAGTAAGGCTGCCTCATTTAATGCATGTGAATTCGTGTCAATAAGAGACTGTCATCTCACCCTGACAATAACGTTCCATAAAAATGCTTCACCACAAAATTACGCACAATTCAACAACTACACTTTAATTACCTTCACCTAACATACAGTTGTTATTTTCATTCATACAGTGTAGATCTAGATGCTGGGATTGGATTAACAAGTGACTGGTTTGCGGCTGAAAAATCAACAAAAGATAGGATAAGGGAACCAGGAAGAACATTGACTGAAGAGGAAATCACCATTGATGTTGACCACCCTCCTGTAGAAGCATTGGGTACTGATTTCAGTTCCAACATTTATTCACTTGCAAAGAGAACATCAGCCAATCTAGTCAGTAAGACACAACTCAGAAATTACCCCAGAATAATTATGTACTAAGCAAGTCCATGGTGTGACACTGGAAAAGAGACCTGGCAACTATTTTTTCTGGTGAGCTGAAGATGTTCACAAAACATGCAACGATGGGCTGTTTCACTCCCAAATATCCTGAACTAGACCAGCAAGTGAAGTGGTTTTCAGGTAGTATTACATTTGTAATCAGAAATTTGGAGAGTATATTTTGCACAGTTAAGTGAGGTCGTTTTTCAGTGTGTGGGAAGCAAAGACTCTAATTGGTCAGAAATGCATTGTTGTCATGACGATTTTGTAACATGCCACAAAAATGGCACTGCAATTACACAATTTACAGTTATCTCACATTGACATTAACATTGCTACTTCATTTTTAACAGTTATTGCTGTGAGTGGATTGATGCTTCAGCTGAAAGCCAAAGAACTCTCAGATGATCCTTCCTTTAAAGCCTTCCATGGATGGTATGAGAAATGGAAGCGACACCACTTCGTCAGCATGCAAACAAAAACAACTCCTGGCACAATGATTGCCTGCGGATGAGACAACCATGCATTTCAAGCTCCCATCAAACCAAACACTGGAATTCAATGGGAGCCAATAGGAACCAGTGAAAACTTGCAGAGTGGAAAAGCAGAGCTTCACCATCGTTCTTGCTGTTGCTGCAAAAGTGCCTCTGGGTTGAAAGCCCCAGCACAAATGTGTCAAACATCTCCTTTAGGAGCCACCAATTTCATTAAAGTGCATAACATTCAGTAGTTACTGTTGTTGAGTTTTATTACTTCTGCTTCATTGATAACTTGACTAGAAGCCAGGGGGGTAATTTTAATTTCATATCATTATTTTAAATTATTTTAAGGTTGGTGTGATTTCTTAGCAATTTTCACTGACCTTATATAATATGTAGAAGTAGATTTTTGTACTAATGCACTGGAGATTTTTTTTCAGATCTGTATTAAATAACTGTACTATTAATTTTATGCAAAAGTTAACTTATTGTGCATGGGTGTAACTAGTCAGTTTAAAGTACATGTACATGAAAATAAATATTCATAAGTTAAGTACAGTGACATTACATATGATATATCACCAAAAACTAATAAGGGAAGGTTTTCAAAATATGAAGTCCTGCATGTAATGTAATATCAACCATTGATATGTCAATTGGCTTATGAATTATTAATGAGTTTTTGAAGAACTTTGTTCAAAGCTCTATTGCTAAATAACACTTGTAAGAGTAAAAGAATAAATATTAGTGGAGCTCAATGTGCGAGTGGAGCCACATAGCTAAGAAAATCTATTGAAATCTATTAAAATTTGGTAATCACATGATGCTACACCAACCACTTGACTATCCATTTGCACCACAGGCCAACCAAATGTTTAGTTTCACACTATCCAGCTTGTTTGAGGGCCTACAACCTGATATTGCACACCCATGTTGTAATCAGGGTATCCCCTGACCTGCATCACCTGACCGTATCGCAGGCTCAGGTATCAACCAATCGAGGTCAAGTATTTTTTTGAAGTTATCTGCTGACAAGTTACTAGTTTTCATATGATTGCAGGCTGAAGTTCAATTTCTTTTAATGCATACAAAATAAGTTGTGCTTATGACCGGCACAATTAAAATTTTGATTTTCACACTGACCTTGGCTGTGAAAATTCAGCCAGGAAGGCAGGCAGTTGCTTTTCACTTTTCACACTATGGTCATGCGTTGGTCACACTCTGCATTTAATTTTTATGCTCTGATTCGTCAAAATTTGACAGGTGAGTTTAAGCAGAAACTTATCCAGCATCTGAAAACTTGGTAACTGATAGCTGAAGCTGACAGAGTTTTGCGTCATACTGCGACATTTTTAACTGCCTTTTTCCGCTGGATGTACAAAATGAAATAAAGCTCAAGATTCTTCTGTTATTCATGGCTGGTTTGCTTATTGGGTTTTTGCTTGACAAATGCACCAATTGTCAAAGTCATCAGAAATGCAATTTCAGATAGCATTGTTTTAAAAAATAAGCTTACTCACTTCACCTTGCCTGATGCATGAGAAGTTTGAAAAGTCTCAAGGGTTTCTGGCCTCACTTGATGGCTCTCAGGAGCTGTATCTCTACTGGTGAGCCTCAGTAATTATTGCATTTGATAGTTTATGGGCTAGTTTATGCGCATTTGTAAGATTTGAGACAATTATATGACCTAAAATCAGGTTTGATATAAGCTTGCAGAACTTTAAAGTGCCTTTAGACATTTTCTTACTGCAAATAGAAAGAAATGTTCCAAAACATATTTAGTAAGTTATAACTTTGGCTGTAAAAAGAAAGCTTCGAGCGATTTTCTTGCCTCAAGTTAATCTTGAAAAATAGCAAACCCTGGGAAGCCGGCTTTAAAGAAAAATCTGCAGGGTTTTAATTTTATTTTCAGGGACACTTTACTCTCAATACTTGTCTCTGTGAATAAAAAATTGTTGCCTCCGTAAATGTTTCTCCAAAGGATAATTCTGCCATGTAATACGTAAATATAAGTGAGAGACCTTTATGGCATTTTAAACAATTCGCTGTTTTTGGGTGTACATAGAAGACTATTGACTCAATGTAAGATTTGTTGCACTTTTGGGTTGTTTACAAATATTTTTTTCTAAAATCACCTAGCCTTTCTCTCAAACGTCACATGGATGTGCCCTACAAATAAATGATTTGTGAATTACAAGTTTACTGTCTGATTTAAATTAAATTTATTAACGGGATCTTCGCTTTTAGCCCTGGCTAAATCTATATATTCCATTCAAACTAAGAAAACCATGAACACCCGATCCTGATCTTTCCTGTGATTGGTCATAACTGAATAAACATTTCTGAGATATTTCAAGCGTTCTCAGTTTTCAAGGTCACACTGTAGTGCACTTGACTTCAAAGTTAAAGCTAAAGTTCAGTTAAATTTGAACCCAAGAGAAGGTCTCAGCTTAAAGCCAAAAGTTTTAACAAAAATTTTTTTCAGTGCATTGAAACTCTACTAAATGGGTAAGTATTCACTTACAAGCTGAGCAAATAGCAGCAACAGATTGAAATGATTGCGTGAATACAAATCTGAGTGTTAAGTTAGGAAAGCACAGAAATTCTGTCCCAAATTGTCAAAGTATCTGACAAAAACAGGTCTGACAACTAAAATCTCAGATTGGTAAGCTTTTTACAATAAGGGAAGGTATAAAAAAAAAAAAAGAGATGTCAAGAAATATGTAAACAATCCGCCACGTTTGGTCAAACATGCTTTGAAACATTTGCCTCCTTACCAAGCATGGATGAATGAAACGAGAACTGGTGTGGTTTGCTTTGATTGCAAGACGATTTATGTGATCATCTCAAGCATAATGTGATGAGGAAACAAGAAAAGATTGATAGCAGCAAAAACCCAAACAACAAATGGTACGTTTTCCTAAAGAAGGTCACTTTTTGTGTCTACAGCTTCTAGAGAAGCGTAGACATTATGTCATCGGGTCGAGTGATAGAGTGAAAGAGTGTAAATGCCACAGGAATCCCAAATGGAATCCGATCGAAAGCCGATGCTAATCCAAGGCTGACCGGGATCTAAGTGATTGTATTTCCAGAAACTGAGGTATGATCATCAATCGGTCGGTTACTGTCGTTTAGGAGATGGATTACGAGGTCCTTGCAAGATGGTTCGACAATACTTTGGCAGCCACATGTGCTGGACGGCGTTATATCAATTGCGACATTAACCCTACGTCTTTACCACGTGCTTTTTGAGACTTGGTAAATTTTAGTCCTGTTGAAGGTGATTCTAATCGTATTTTCTACAATGTTTTTGTCCTATTTCACATCAATAACCAAACACAGCTTTCTATGCATTTGTAAAGTATTTATTTCTAGAGAGTTTGTGAGGATTTCTTACGGTTTGGGGTGATTTTATGCCAGCAAAAGAATCATTCAGTCAAACAATTTTGATGCCAATGTCCATGCGCATTCAGTTTCCTCTGTAGTTCAACGCGTTCAATGTCCGTCTGGTCGTCGCTGGATCATGTGTAACCCTTTGCAAGGGTCA